CACTGACAGCTGATGTCCATTTACTTCATTCTTTTCAGACGGGACCTTGCAGCACCAAGGTTAAACTTCTAATAACAAGCTGTGGAAATGTCTAACACATTCTATACATAGTCTTGACATACTGTTCTTATTCTGGTCTCTGGGCAAAACTCTAGAGTCACAGTGCACACCTAAAGCAGCTTATTTCTGAACAGCACAGTCTTACTGTCAATCAAACAGAAAGAGAGCTGTTGAAGTGTGACTGAATTTTGGAGAACTCCACTGCAAGCGGGGCAGGCCTGCATGGACGTATTGAAGAGAGCAGCTATGGCTCGAGCCTATCCCGTCCCGTCCACTTCCTCCCCCCTCTTCGAAGCTCCTGTACGCAACACTTGGACACTGTATTCCTGCCCTGCCTCACCCCCTTTCCACTGTCCTATTAATAAACACGTTGGTATCTGCCTGTGAATAGTTTGTCTTGTCTGGCATGTGAGAGTTAGACACGGCATTCTTTGCTGAACTACAGAGGTTGGCTACTGACCTGGGCTTGCTGGAAAGACTTGAGCCTTTTCTTGAACCGTGACGGAAGAACAAAGTCACAGCCTCGTGCCAAAAAAGCCAGTTCGCCTCGCAAGTCAGGATCCTCCCTTAACGAGGCCTCCTTGATCATCATATTGGCAATGTCAAAGGATTCAAAAAGTACGAAACGAGAAAAAGCCCCCCAAAAAAGAAAATGGACAAGCTATTCCTACAGTACGTCCTAAGGGACTTCCGTCAAGGAGGATCAGCTTCCGTTTAAGAGCTCGCAGACAACTCCGTTCTGGCCAATGTCCCTCGTACACACTTTCCCAGTGGTCCGCTCACTTCAAACTCTCAACTCCAGGCTTTGTCCAGGGATGCAAGGTGGATGTGTCTTGGCGCACAGAGCAACTCCTAGAATTGTGCCTGCTACTGTGACGGCTGGAATCCAGGAGCATTGTACCAAAGAGGCCAGGCCGCCAGCCTCCTGATTGCTTTTCGAAACTACAAAACACAAAATCTCAACTCAAGTCCATAGCCAACGGGTTCCCAGCCCTGCGAAACATGAGCCGCTCTGGGGTCTGCCTCCCGGTCCAGTCCCCTCTCTCTCTCTCTCTCTGTGCCCGTCCTGTCCTGATGAGCAGGGGGCTGAATGCACCAATATGGAGGGGAGGGGGATCAGCTGTGTCAAATGTCCGTATGGGTGAGCAAGTAGTATTATGGGAATGGATGCCCCCTCCCATCCCCAAACAGAAAGGCTAAAGTTAGCCAGTGCACAGATGAAGTGCAAATTGCTCGATCAAGACTTTGTTTACGTGCAGAGGAAGGCAGAGAGAGAGGGAAGATAGCTTAGAGGGCCAGGCCCCTGTGATATTCGGCTCCCGAGGGTTCATGGGGTGCACTTGGGGAGTGGAGTAATAGGACGAGTCAGAAATGTTCCAGGGCACTGCACCCACAGCATAATAACATTAATGTCTGGAGTGCAGAGAGCTTCCTCTCTGCTCTAGAAAGTTTCCAACTAACCGACAAATGAACTTCATACTCGAGTCAGGCGATGCCCGACTGGTGCTCTACAAGAATAATAGCCCTGATGAGTCATGTCACTGCATCAACAACTCAACATGTAAAAGTGGACACTAGATAATTTTGATCTACTGACCTCAGTAAACTGATCAGAGATAAATATAAAAATGGCGTATTGCTCTACACTTTGACTAAATTACTTTTATCCATTTGTTCTTTTTTTCTAAATTAGCACGAGCTGTATATCCAAATGACACTGGCATCAGCACAATAATTGTTCCTATAAATCAGTTGCTCTCAACCTTTGCGACTCCAACTCCGTTCACAGCAATATTCGAAGGCTCCATGATTTTTCCAGTTGTTCACGATTTACTGGATATTTGCTGGATAAGGATTAATGAAAATATAATAAGCGGATAAACGAAAAGACCGAATAAATTGCATTGAACAATGACGTGACACAATCAAATAACAACCAGCGTGAGAGGTGTGCCCTCTTTATAATGCAGCAAACATGTCGGCAGTGTGAAAGTGCTTAAAACTGTCCGAGAAAAACGCAAAAATCATTACAAGCACGGACAGCCAGAGACTGTATACTACTGCATCGCATGTCTTCGATGAGAAGAGGAAGGGGTGGTTGTTGCTGGTTACTGTATGATGATTGAAGTAACGTTGCTCAATAACATTTTCATGAATTTTTACAAGGCATGTGACAATGTGATAACGTGCGACAAACATCTTCCCAAATTCGTAATGTGAATCATTTATAAATCTGCTGTCAACAAAAAGAAGGTTTTCCTATGGGTTTCCGCCAAAATAAACGCTGAGAAAAAGCAAGAACTCCATCAACATTCATAAATGTTAGTATTGTAATTTTACTGCTGTTCTGTAAAATAAAATAAAAAAGACAATAAAAGGTGACGTGACATGTGGCCAAGTATGGTGACCCATACTCGGAATTAGTGCTCTGCATTTATCCCATTCAAAGTGCACACACACAGCAGTGAACACACACACACACCGTGAACACACACCCGGAGCAGTGGGCAGACATTTTTTTGCTGCGGCGCCCGGGGAGCAGTTGGGGGTTCGGTGCCTTGCTCAAGGGCACCTCAGTCGTGGTATTGAAGGTGGGAGAGAGTGCTGTACATTCACTCCCCCCATCTCCAATCCCTGCCGGTTCGAGACTCGAACCCACAACCTTTGGGTTACGAGTCCGACTCTCTAACCATTAGGCCATGACTTCCCCTAATGATAATAATAATGATAATAATATTTATTTTAATAAATATTAAATAAATAAAATAATATTTATTTTAAGAATGAAATGCAGGCAAGCTGAGAGAAAATGTAAAAGTGACAAATTGCAAGTTTCCTATGAAATTTTGAGGGATTGATTAGTTACTTACCAGAAATTTGTTAAGAATGCTAGGTCATTATATTTTTCTAATCTTATCTCTAGCAATGCTGGCAGACCTAACATTTTATTTAATACTATTAATAGGGTTTTAAATCCTGTTACAATTTCATTTACTGGTGCATCTCCTCTAATTTGTAATGATTTTTTTTTAGAGTTTTTTATTAATAAGATCCAAAATATCCGCTCTAATGTTGTTAACTCTGGGAATGTCTCAATTGTCTAATGGACATTATCTGTCTTATGAAACCTGCATCTTGCTCTCTGGATCCTATTCCTACATTTTTAACTGTGGAAGTGTTTGATACCATTGGTCCATATATTCAGTTTATTATTAATAGTAGTCTTATTAATGGTTATGTTATGCCTGTTTTAAACATGCAGTGATACACCCTGTACTAAAAAAGCCTACCCTTGATCCACAGGTTTTAGCCAATTACCGGCCTATATCAAAACTTCCTTTCCTTTCAAAGGTATTGGAGAACGTGGTTTTTCATCAGCTTTCCACCTTCTTAAAGAATAGTGACACATTGGACAAGTTTCAGTCTGGGTTCAGAGCTCAGTATAGTAAAGAATCTGCTCTTTTGAAAGTGTTAAATGATTTGCTATTAGCTGTCGACTCTGGGAAATGTGGGGTTTTGGTCCTTCTGGATCTAAGCTTGGCTTTCGACACTATCGACCATTCTATTTTACTAAGACGATTGGAGGAGTATGTTGGAATTAGGGGAACAGTTTTAAGCTGGTTCACATCCTATTTTAAGGGAGATGCTGGTTCACATCCTATTTTAAGGGGGATATAATAACATTCCTATTTAGAATTTTACCTCTGTCACTGCTGCATGTACATGTGAGGTACCACAGGGTTCCGTTTTAGGCCCTGTTTTGTTCTCCCTTTATCTTCTTCCTTTAGCTATGATTTTTCTTAAGTATCAGATCTCATACCATCTTTATGCAGATGATATACAGCTTGTTTAAGCGACATACACCGATATTGCGGTATTTTCAAAATTCATATCATAACAAAAATAAAAACCGGTATTCGGTATGAACCGGTATACCGCCCAGCACTAATCTCCAGTCTTTGATTGATTGTGTGAGCGAAGTTAAAACTTTGATGGCGGAAAATTTTTTACAGCTAAATGATTCTAAGACTGAAGTGTTGGTCTTTGGACGGCCTAAATGTGCTTCCATCCTATCTAAAACTCTGCGACCTATAACTAAAACTGCAGGTACTTGTGCTCGGAATTTGGGTGTTATTTTTGATCCGGCACTCAAATTTGATAAACAGATCAATTCAGTTGTGAAATCAGCATTTTTTCAGCTTAGGATGATTACTAAAATAAAATCTTTTCTTTCTTTTAAGGATCTGGAGACTGTTATTCATGCATTTATTTCAACAAGATTGGATTATTGTAATTCATTGTATCTAGGAATTATTCAGTCTTGTTCATCTCATCTCCAGATGGTCCAAAATGCTGCAGCCAGACTTTTAACAGGAACCAAAAAGAGAGAAAGTATCACTCCAGTTTTGATTAGTTTGCATTGGCTTCCTATCAAGTTTAGAATTCAGTTTAAGGTACTACTGTCTGTGTATAAATCTGTGGCAGGTTTGGCACCATCTTACCCGTCTGATCTCCTCTAGTTCCATGTGACTAACAGGCCTTTAAGGTCATCAAATTCTTTATTGTTGTCGGTACCTATGACGCGCTTGAAACTCAAGGGGGATCAGTTTTTCGGTGGCAGCACCTAAGCTGTGGAATAATTTGCCATTGTATGTGTAACTGGTGTGAATTTATTGACTTAATTTAATTTGCTTTCTTTTCTTTCCTATATTGTATTATTATTATTTTTTTTTATATGCTGTTTATACCGTTATCAATTCTATGTGTTTCATAATAAGAATGGGTTAATAAACTCCACGAAATTTTGTTCCTCTACTGTTGTTCGCAAGTTAAAAATATAACGTTAAAGTCACGTAACTTTTCTTTGGGATTTTGTCTGGGGAGGGAATGATATCAGTGGAACACATCCGGGGTTTCCCCGCGTGCGACATGTGATAGCCTCAGTCTACCTGTGTGCGAGGCTAATGAGCACATGTACTACTCTGTTCTCCCCCGTGAATGACTCTGGTATGGCGATGTTTTTTGTCTAAAATGCATATTTATCGCTAGATGAATGTGATTACTTTATACTAGCACTCGATTGTGCTAGTTATAATGTAAATGTATATTTTATGGTGTTATTTAACTTAAACGGTGTACATTGTGACGCTAACTAATTAGCATCATATGTTTAGTGTGCCAGAGAAGGAGAAGCTGTCGCCTGTTGATCCACTGATTATTTCTCCTTGTTACAGGTATGTTTAATTAGTTCTGTTTTATAAAAGAAAAGAGATTTAGTTGAATGTGTATTGTACGTAGAGTGTTACGGGAGAAAATCCGATTTAATGATTTATGCAGTGCGTGACGCACGTGGTGCAGCCTACACATAGTACGGTGCTAAACATATTGAATGATTAATTTCACTATGTAACGTATAGGAATACTGATTTATTCATACAAATGGTATTATAATTTTTTGTTTTATTTCACTATAGTATGTTTTAATGTATAAATACTTGAATTAATGCATAAGTTAATAATGTAATAGATTTTATATCTAATGTAATATTGTAAAATATTTATTGTAATGTATTAATAGGAATATTAATGTGATGTATAAGAAAGACAAGAGACATATTGTAAGCAGTATAATTTATTTACATTTATTTAATTCTTTTCCATTATTGTATAATGTCAGTCTACCTGTGTGCGAGGCTAATGAGCACATGTACTACTCTGTTCTCCCCGTGAATGACTCTGTGTGCCAGAGAGGGAGAAGCTGTCGCCTGTTGATCCACTGATTATTTCTCCTTGTTACAGATTGAGTAAAAGCAAGTGCTGAATCTCATCAACGAGTGGTCGTGTGGTCTTTATGTGTGTGAGGGTGACCGGTCCAAACATGCTACATATGTAAGATCAGCCTCCTCTTTTCAGGTTTTTAAATCATCACTTAAGACTTATTTGTTTTTAATTGGCTTATGGTCTGGAGTAAATGCTGTCTAATATTTGATTATGTGTGATATTTCTTTGTCATAAATTTGTGATTTGTTAGTTGTTTTATGTATTTTTTTTTTTGTACAGCACTTTGGTGGTTATTAAATGTGCTATATAAATCAATAAAACTAAACTAAACTAATAATTACAACATCTCTATTAATACATTTATTATAACATTAACACAGTGTTAAAATTGGGATGTGTAATATTTTCTAATGTTTCTGCTCAGCAAGGCTGCATTTATTTGTACAGTGAAAAAATACATGCCTGATTCAAGAAGATGGCCAAAAAATATTATTTTACAAATTTATTAATTTTAAGTTAAATTGTGCTTTGTTGGTATAATGTCTGCTAGAATGTTTAAAAATGTTAAGTGTTGAATAAATATTTGTAAATTGAAATTTATTTATTCTTTGAAAAGCAAGACAAAACAGTAAAAAGCACATTTTGGCTATTTAATTAATGCAATTGTGAAAAAAATTGGCAAAATACATGGGGAAAAACCAAGCTCTGTATTCGGCTTCGGCCCAGTGTTTAATTTTGTTCGGTTTCAGCTTTGGCCAAGGATTTTCATTTCGGTGCATCCCTACTTTAAAGTCAACTTTGGGTCCCCTTGGAAGTTTGCTGAGGCCTTCTTGTTGAGAGCAAATGCCGTAGATTAATTGATTTCTACATTATCTAGAGTTGACCATTTGACCTAATTCTGGACTGTACACTTTTTTAAATCTTATCTCAGAGTTATTATCATAGCAACAGGTCCATTAGCTCAGATCTATTCAGCAGTAGATTTAACAAAAACAGGACTAGATCATGGTTTTAGGAGCAGAGGTGATACTGGAAGTCTGTCCAAGACGTTGCTCCTCTGTTATGACGGCACCTTATTGATCCAGGAAAAATAATTTCATATTTAAATAAAAAAAATTAATAAATGTACGTCTGCTTTAAAGTGATGCAATTTCAATACAATTTCAATTTTTTCTGGCGCGATGCAACGCAACGCGTAAAAAGACAGTATAAGTCATTATAATCTGTAATTATGTCCCCACTGGATGCAAAAACTGCCTTGTTTATAATGGGTTTTAATGTTTTTGTCTCGTTGCTCAGGGTAAAAATCGACGCGTTTCAGAAAGGCAGGGCATAGATGAGAAACAATAATGTACAGTATGTGGAAAATAATGTGTTTTTTTTACCTTAAACCGCATAAACACATTTCATTACACCAAATACACAAAATAATGTTCTTTTTAGCAACATCATATGACCCCTTTAAGGACAAAAACCAAGAGAAAAAACTTTACACTCATTTCCCACACTGCCCTTCTCTGGGATCAAGCCCATGTTTGTGTAAACAGTCCTTAACTGCTAATCTATCACCCATTATACCTGTGAGAACTAGAAAACAGAGCACTAAAAAGGTATAGTGACACCTAGTGTCTGTGCTTATAAATTATCCAATGGCTATCTTTCCAGAAATTCACACATCGTGGTGTGTGGGTTATAATGACAGACAGCTGCGTTAATCAGCGCCATGTTTACATTTTATCTGCACAAATAAACCAATGAACTTTTCAAGAAGAAGAAAAAAAAAAGCTGTGGTAATGGAGCTGATCTCTTTGCGTAACTAAGGTCTAACGCCCAGCAGATCTTCTCCCCTTTCCTTTAAGCCTTATAAATAACACCCGCTGTACAGGAGGCCTCCTGACATTTCAGCTGTACATAGCAATTCCAGCCTTCCCAGTTCTGTCTCCGGCAGCTGTTAGGAGAATATCAAACGCATCAAGATTCCTCTGTGGGCAGGGCAGAGGGACATAAAGAGGCCTGCCTGCTGCTAACACCATTAGCCTCATCTAGTGCATAGGCAGGCTTTTGGAGGAGGAGAAGAGATGCATGCACAGTTCCAAGTGCATGTAATGAAATACTTATTTTTGTGTAGGCCAATTCTTAGGCCGAAAAACAAACCTGCTGTAAATAGAACATTAATGAACTTATCTTCCATGAAACAAGTAACCTCAGAACCAGATTATAGTTAGCATGCTTCTGACTCATACTGTATTCTAGCACACTAGGGATCTAGTATGGAAAATGACACAGACCGAACTCGAACCTGCGTCCCCACGGGAGAACTACTCCCATTATGGCTCATGCACGCATACACACAATGGCTACACCAAGGCCAGGACTGTAGCTAGAAATTCTAGTCCTCCATCTTTTTTTAAGTGAAGTTCAGACAGGGACAAGTCTTGGTGGATGGTTCACGTGTGCCAGCACATTGCATGATGATGCTTTTGTGCAGACAACACAACTTTAGATCACATTCAAGCCATTTTCCAATCTCACCATTATTACAAAACTGAATATTCTCTGGATCAAAGTCTTATTACCTCTATTACCTCTTAATTTTGTTGCATTTTTTTTTGTGATTAGCTTATGTTCTTCTTTGTTATTATTACTCTCTTTTATCTGTTCTTATATATTTTATCAATTTTATTTTAGCTGAATTACATAAACTCTTGTGATTTTTGTCTGCAGTAAATCAAATGTTACATCCCACTAATATTTTATGTTCAGTTTGCTGCTGACCTAGAGTATTGTAATAAATTTCTCTTCAGCCAAAGCACAAAGCTATAGTTTTAAGTGATGGCATTTATAAGCAGGTCTTGTACCATGCAGTTTTTGCAGTTTCTTGACGTGTGTTAAGTGTACTTTGCTGTTAAAGCCTTGTCAACTTAGAAAAATGTAAGTATGGTTCTTCACACAAAACTGGTTTTGGATGCGCCTTTTCATGGATTTCAATTTTTATGGCTAAAATGGGTTTCACATTGACCTTTAGAGGTAATAATACACTATTTATTCTTAGAGTAATACATTTTTTGTAATAAATATTTGTGGTAGAGTAATACAAAGATAAAAATGGTCATGAATGACCAGCAATAATGATGTTTCCCAGCAGATGTGCCTTGTGTTCCACTTAACAGGCAAAACTAATCATGTGAGCTACTACAAGAGGATCAAGCATACACTGTATGAAGTAGTATGAAGAACCCTAGGGCTTGTGTATTTTTAGTTGATTACATTTCTTACAAAGTTATGATGCCTGATAAATCACGGCAGAATGCCAAGAAACACTAGGGCAGGCCAAGACTTTACTGTCCTCTGCTAAAGAACAATATAAATACAAGAGTGTAACCTTGCCTTGTGGGGGCCTGTGGAACCAGCGGCACTTGTTCTGAATCCAGGGTTACATTGTGAAGACCTTCACTCTCTATTGTTGGCATAACTATTTTTTATATTGCAGTCTCCTTGACACCAAGTCTTGTACAGTGCTGGCTGAGAAATGCATAATGTATTCGTCTAAATGTGCTCCAGTTAATACTTACTTACTATCAGAACAGCTGGAATATTCCAGAGCACAGGTAATAATAAATACTGTATATACACTACCATACAAAAGTTTGGGATTGGTAAGATATTTAATGTTATTCTCGCCAAGGCTGCATTTATTTGATCAAATATACAGTCAAAACTGTAATATTGTGAAATATTATAATTTAAAATAACAGTTTTCTATTTGAATACATTTTAAAATGCAATTAATTCTTGTGATGACAAAGCTGAGTTTTTAGCAGCCATCAGCCTTACTTCAGAAATAATTCTAATATGTTGATTTGGTGCTGAAGAAACATTTCTTATCATTATCAATGTTGAAAACTGTTGAGCTGCTAAATATATTTATGGAAACTGTGATACATTTTTTCAGGATTCTTAGAAAGTTCAAAAGAACAGCTTTTAATTGAAGTATCATGAAGTATCTTAACAATATAAGTCTGTTACTTTTGAATCATTTAATGCGTCCATGCTGAATAAATGTATTAAAATGTAAAAAAAAAAAAAAATAATAATTTAAATGATTAATTTATAAACATTTATATCAAAAATATATATTTTACTTCAAATAATTAAATCATAATATAAAAATATAAATATATGATGACATATAACAGGTAAATATTTACTGTAGGTAAATAGTCATGGCCTATCTTTGGAGGTATTTAGTGGGGCTGCATTATGAAACAGTTTCTGGGTGCTAAAGGAGAGATGGGCTTGTAAATGCTAGCATATGAGTGGATTCGCTGAGACCAGCAGAGCTGTGCAACGCTGGGAAATCCTATGAGCAAGAAGAGTTCATACATGGCCCTCCCCTTCAGCTCCAGAATCACACCTGTCTGCCTGCTTATGCCAGCCAGCTTGTTCTAGGACGTGCTGTAATAGTGCACAGGCCTCTCGATGGCTCTGCAGGTGCTGAGTTTGTTCTTGCACTGACAGCAGCCAGGCTCATCACACCTGTCTCCTTCCCATCATCCCAGACACTCCAGCACCACGCTGAGTCTTCAATTAACAGTGATTCCGCTCCGTGGGATTCCAGAGCTATTGGAGCGCTCTACGGGTGTCATCGGTCCACTGCCATGACCTATCAAAACGATCTCCTTAACCTTTAGAAGATAGTTTTCCACTACAAGAGCACTGGCTTTCTAGGATTTGGAAATACTCATGGTGTTTTGCTCTTATTGACACTCAAATAGTCGAATAATCTGAGAATCTGGCTAAATTTGTTGCGTTTGTGGGACTAATAATGTTTTCATTCCATCAATTTTCAGCAGGTCTCAGTTGCGCAGTGTTGGGATGCCATCGCCAGCTGAAGCCCGGTACACCCCTCTTCCCCTGCAAACCTCTCACGTTATATACCGTCACAATGTGCGACTGGCACCAGCGATGTGACGGTACTGCGTACTTCGGAGCAATCAGAGGGTTCTCTTTGCTCCAAATACTAAGAAAAAGTGCATAGCTGCCTGAAAGCAGTTATTCAGAGTTTAATTTCAGCTTTCAAAGCTATGCTTAGTGTTTTGATTTATGGCACAGCAAGTGCAGCACATGCCTCTGAGACTGGAGGATGGGGCCCAGAGGAGGTGCACAGTTATATTAGATCCTTACTGAAAGTGAGGAGACGAGACAAGAAGAGGACGACGACTGCCTGCATTTCAGAGACAGACAGACAGAGCGATAGAGGGATAAAGAAAGCAATAGACAGACAGAGAGCGACATATTAAAAAATATGAAACAATAAAGAGAGCCATAACTGACAAAAAAGCGACAGATAGGCAGCAACAGGTAGAGAGATAGAGAGAGAAAAAGACAGACAGCAAATACAAAGAGAGACAGATAGAGCAGATAGAGAGCGACAGATAGACAGACAGAGGAAGAGAGACAAGACTTCCTCCTTCACAGGAGGGAAAAAAAAAACCCAATCCCTGAGTTCCTTTCATTATTTACAAGGAGAAATTTAAAGAAAGAAGAAGAACAATTTTTTTTTTTTTTTAAACCCAACTGCCACAATCTAAGAGATACTAGCCCCTTTCACACATACAGACTTTACTGGTAAATTACCTTTTCAAAAATACTAGGTTTGTCAGTATGAATATTCTATGGAAAAAAGCCGCTAAAAGGGTCTGAAAGTTGCTAAATCTAGTGCTAAAGTCGCGCTCGTGTGTGTGTGAGACGCGGGAGCTGATGGCAGGGGGCGGTGGATATTTGTGGCGGTCAATGTGGATATTGTGGATGAGTTCTTCTGTCATCACGTTCTATTAGGTCTACAGCTTCAGTTTCGGAACTTTCACGCTTAGTAACACATACAGCTGTGCCCTCACCACAGTGCAACAGTGAAAAGGGACCCCTTTCAAACAGTGTCGCGTTCCGAACGTTGTTTAAGTGACATATACCGGTATTGCGGTATTTTTAAAATTCATATCATAACAAAAATAAACACCGGTATTCGGTATGAACCGGTATACCACCCAGCACTACCGTGTATACCCCTCCATGTTTACAAACACAACATCGGGAGGCACAGCCGCTTAGAGGCCATTTCTGGTTAATGATGTTACAGAATTTACTGGTAATTTGAAACCGATATGTGAATGGTGCTTCACCGGTAAAATGACAGAACGTCGTTGCCTGTGTGAACAGCGCATTTTTGTATTTACCGGTAAAATCGTTCCAGTAACGTTACGGCAATTTACTGGTATTACTGTGCGAAAGGGGCGACTGAGTGAAGTAAGCCAGCATATAAAACTCCTGAACAACTACTAGATATTATTACTTATATAGAGAACATATTTATTTTTTTTGCTTTTTGATTATTTGTTTATTAATCTGTTTCTCTTTTTGTCCTGTAATGCTTTGGCAATATGTACAAAATCTCATGCTAATAAAGCAATTAGAATTTTGAATTTGGGAGAGAGCAACGGAGATGGAAAGAGAGAGTGACAAATGGACAGACAGAGAAAGAGAGTCAGTGACAATTAGACAGAAAAATAGAGAACGACAGAAAGAGTGAGAGATAGAGAGAGAGCGACACAGAGAACAGATATAAAAAGTGACAGATGGACAGAGAAAGCAACAGACAGACAATCAAAGAGCGACAGACAGAAAGTGAGATAAAGCTATAGAGTGAAAAATAGAAAGACAGAGAGCAAGACAGATAAAGAGACAGATATAAACAGACAGAGAGAGCGACAGACAGACGTTCATGTCTTTAATTCACTAAATATACCTGCAGATTACCTTTAAACACAGGAAGTTCTGAAGACAAGAAAAGTGTCTAGCTAATGTTAGGGTCACGGCACCATATACTGTCAAATCCTTCAGTTAATGACTATTCACAGAGATTTTAGAGAGTCAGTGCCTGAGCTGCCTGTAATGTAACCAACACAGGCATGACATTATATCATCATTAACGCACTTTAGGTATTATATAACGCAATTTGCAATTTCTTTAATCAGATTTATTAAAAGTACTGTACTATAAAGTATCCTGGTCTATTCTGAGTTATATAATAACACAACCATCCTGTTAATATCAACTCTATCCTTTTAGCCTTTCACACAGTATTAAAGCAAACTGGCGTTCGTAGCACATAAGCCAGTTTCTACACATATAACTCTGTTATATCATGTTGAACCCAAACAGTTGGAGTGACTGGGGGCAGATGGCAAAGGCCGTCTATCTCACTTCAATGCAGTGCAGAAAGAGAGCACCAGGACTGGACGGCCCATCTCGTCCTTAGCCCCACCTCCCCTCGCTCGCTTTGACGCAGGAGCGACTGCCATGTGTGCAAAATGATCTCCAAAGATAAAGCTTCTAATTTGCAGTTTATTTCTGCAGCAGGCACTGGGCAGACTTTAGAAACACATACAAATACCCTACCCCTACCCCCACCACACACACTCCAAAACACACACCACTGTTTCTGGTGAATCTATGCGCTTGAAAATAGAAGTGCCAAATGCCATCACCATAGCGATAACCCTTTACCTGGACTTCTGAGAGCCTCTGAGGAATGTGGGGGCATGAAAGGGGCCTTATTTCCTCACACACACTCGGCAGAGAGCTGAATTGAGGAAGTGGATTTTATGAGGGCCTATTCTATTCCGAGCTGGATTTCCTCTATGAAAAGCCACACAGTGGAGCCACTGAAAGAAGTGCCATTACAGCTCACAAAGGCTGGGCCCATGGAGGATGGGACAGTTTTTAAAAGACAGAATATTCTAAATGATCTTCAGTTGAAGACACATGACTTTGGGTATTTACACTCCGAACCAGACAGGACATGTTAAATCAACCCCTCAGGTTGTGAAAGTGAAAATTCAAGCAATGTATTAAATATTCAGAAATCAGTTAAAGTTTTCTTGTAATATTTTAATGTGTCAAATACATATACAGCAACTAATAATTACATTTATAATTTTATATATATATATATATATATATATCTCAATATACAGTGTTTTTGTTCAATGAAACATGGAAAAAAATAAAATTACAATTTTAGAGAAAAAAACAATCCTCGATATATAAATTAACAATAATAATACATTTTATTATTATTATTAATAATAATTATTACTATTATTATTAATAACAATTGTTATTATTAATGCTATTATTTATTTTATACATCAATGAATATTTATGTCAAATAAATGCATTTGATATTTAACACATTAAATATTTTGCACAATTCCTAGGTCACTCATTAAAAAGTAAATTTGTGAAGTGTCAATTTTTGCAATGTGTCAGGTTTTGCAACGAAAAAATATTAAATTATATGTATTAAATATAAAAAACAGAAGGAATTTCAGTAGTGGCCTTTCTGTCAGACCTCTCTACTAGTTATAGTATTATATCAATAATCATCATAAAAGTCCAGCATTTGATTTAAATAAAGAATACTTGGATACTTTACTTAAAGACTGCTGGTTGGAAAGTAGTGAAACATTGCAGATGTTATTAGCAATGTGAACAATTGGGCAGTACAGTACACTGGTACATCACTGCGTGACTTGGAAGCTCCAAGATTAGCTGAACACTTGGTAATTGTGTGAGGTGACATGAACATGCAGTATTGTTGCAAATGATTTGTGGTGACCTTGTGTTTGTGGCTCTTGCTTAATGCAGTCTCCACATGCTGTTGTTTACCACTTGGCTGCCATCTATTTCAGGGCAGTTCAGAGCAGCCTGGAGGTGCTGGCCAAAGGCTCTGCTCACGTTTTTACAACCACATAAGCTAAGGGCCTGAAAATTAAACACAGGCGAGCAGTGAAACTGTAAGGGTCTTTACATTCCTGAGTTAAAGGGCTAGTTCACTCAAAAATGAAAATTCTGTCATTAATTACTCACCCTCATGACGGTCCAAAACCGCAAGACCTTTGATCATCTTCAGAACACAAATTAAGATATTTTTGATGAAATCCACACAAAAAGTATTCTCATAGCTTCATAACATTAAGGTTGAACCACTGATGCCACATGGACTATTAATGATGTCCTTACTACCTTTCTGGACTTGAACATGGTAAAAATAAAAATATATATATCTTAATTTGTGTTCTGAAGATAAACGAAGGTCTTACGGGTTTGGAACAACATAATGGTGAGTAATTAATGACAGAATATTCATTTTTGGGTGAACTATCCCTTTAAGTAATTTTTTTCTCCAAAAAAACATTTTTGCAAAGATGCAAATAAAGCCATACTAAAATATGCTGTCTCTATTGATGCGGCTTTGCTTCTGTATAGATTAAATTCAGAATGAGACATCATCAGTTTTTACATTTGTCAATTATTATATACATAAATAAACTTTCAGAGTTCCTGTAGTTTCCTAGCATGTACTGAAGAAGAACGAACATTTTAGTATTATGTTCTGTACAGCTATGCAGTTGTCTAGTATGAATACATTCCCCAACATACTACATCTAAACAGGAAACATCCTGACAATAAACAGGAAAGATACACAATTAAAAACTTGCATATATAATAACTTTAAGCCATGAGCAGAGTCCTGCTGCACTAAGTGTCCTCGCCAGCAGATGGTGGTATGAGCTCAAGTTAAAGTTAAATATGTACTAAAGTTAAAGGGGTAGCTCATCCAAAAATTCCTATATGATTATCTTCTTCTAAACATATTTTGAATAATGTTATTTATTTATTTATGTTCCACAGAGAAAAAAATAAAGGCATACAGGTTTGGAACAACATTTTTGGGCCACTAATGGATTCATATCCACAGGAACATTTTTTAAATTTAAAGGGGTCATATGATGTTGCTAAAAAGAACATTATTTTGTGTATTTGGTGTAATGCAATGTGTTTATGTGGTTTAAGGTTAAAAAAACATTATTTTCCACATACTGTATATTATTGTTTCTCCTCTATGCCCCGCCTTTCTGAAACGCATCGATTTTTACAAAGCTCATCGGTCTGAAAAGAGAGGTGTGCTCTGATTGGCCAGCTATCCAGTGTGTTGTGATTGGCCGAATACCTCAAGCGTGTGACAGAAATGTTACGTCCCTTACCATATTGTGATGCCGTCTCCCGGCACGACGAGACAAAACCAGTAAAACCTACAGATCTTCTTTATGCACCAAGAGCTTGTAACACTCCAAAGAGAAAGGAAAAATTGAAATCGCATCATATGACTTAATTTGAACTTAATTGTTTCTTTACTGGTGCAAAACA